GCCGCCTCATACAGGCAAGAAGAGCTGCGGGAAGGGGCAGGTTTTGGAGTCAGTCAATCTTTCAAACCCGGTAAAAAGCAATGCCAGGGCCGGGCGTGGTGACTCACATATGTAGTCCCGGCACTTTGTGTGGCTGAGGTAGGAGGACCACCTGAGGTCAGGAGTTCGAGACCAGCCCGGCCAACATGGTGAAACTTCATCTCCACTAAAAATACAAAAATTAGTTGGGTGTGTTGGCAGGCGCCTGTCATCCCAGCTACTTAGGAGGCTGAGGTAGGAGAATTGCTTGAACTCAGGAGGCAGAGGTTGGAGTGAGCTGAGATCATGCCACTGCATTCCAGCCTCGGCAACAGAGTGAGACTCCATCTCAAAATAAATAAATAAGTAAAAAGTCAGATATAACCAGAAACTTCCAAATTTAAAATAGAAATAGTCATAAATGTTAATATATCCAGGAGTCTTACCCAATACATCAAGGAACACATTTTAAGAAATTAAAATTTTATCTTCTAGTTAAAAATGACTGATAATACATAGACATCAAACAATAAGGCTTAGAAAACCCTCAGTGAGATTCCTCTCAAGAGAATCTCACGCAGTGACAAAATGTTTGAGCTGGTTTTACGTAATAAGGTCTGCAGCTCTCTTATTTTAGAACAGAGGAAACCAAAGGCTGTAGACTGTAAGGAAATTGCCCAGAGCTCCTGGTCCATTAGCGGTGCAGTGCAAGCCAGCATCTTGGTCAGGTAACTGGGAAATAGTTCTTTTTCAACTGTACCACATTAGCTCTTCTAGATAGCTATGTGTATTAAAATATTTGGCATTCTAATAATTACATACAACATGAGCCATGGTCAAAATGATGACTTCAGGCCAATCTCCATGATGAACACAGATGCAAAAATTTTCAACAAAATACTGGCAAACTGATTGCATTAGCACATCCAAAAGCTTATCCATCACAATCAAGTAGCTTCATCCCGGGGATGGTTCAATATACACGAAATCCACCGAATGAAGAACCAAAGATAAAATCTCGATTATCTCAATAGATGCAGAGAAGGCCTCTGACAAAATTCAACAGCCCTATATGCTAACAACTCTCAATAAACTAGGTATCAATGGAATGTGTCTCAAAATAATAAAAGCTATTTATGACAAACCCACAGCCAATATCATACTGAGTGGGAAAAAACTGGAAGTATTCCCTTTGCAATCTGGCACTAGACAAGGATGCCCTCTCTCACTACTCTTATTCAATACAGTACTGGAAGTTCTATCCAGAGCAATCAGGCAAGAAAAAGAAATAAAGGATATTCAAATAGGAAAGGAGGAAATCAAATTGTCTCTGTTTGCAGAAGACATGATTGTATGTCTAGAAGACCCCATCATCTCAGCCCAAAATCTCCTGAAACTGATAAGCAACTTCAGCAAAGTCTCAGGATATAAAATCAATGTGCAAAAATCACAAGCATTCCTATACACCAGTAACAGACTTAAGGAGAGCCACATCAAGAATGAACTGCCATTCACAATTGCTACAAAGACAATAAAATACCTAGGAATACAGCTAACAATAAACATGAAGGACTTCTTCAAGGAGAACTACAAGCCACTGCTCAAGGAAAAAAGAGAGGACACAAACAGATGGAAAAACATTCCATGCTCATGGTTAGAAAGAATCAGTATCATGAGAATGGCCATGTTTCCCAAAGTAATTTATAGATTCAACAGTATCCCCATCAAGCTACCAATGACCTTCTTCACAGAACTGGAAAAAACCACCTTAAACTTCGTAGAGAACAAAAAGAGAACCCATATAGCCAAGACAATCCTAAGCAAAAAGAACAAAGCTGGAGGTATCATGCTATCTGAATTCAAACTATACTACAAGGCCACAGTAATCAAAACAGCATGGTACTGGTACAAAAACAGATCAGAATAGAGGCCTTGGAGGCAATGCCACATATCTACAACCATCTAATCTTCCACAAACTGAACAAAAACAAGCAATGGGGAAAGGATACCCTATTTAATAAATGGTGTTGGGAAAACTGGCTAGCCATATGCAGAAAACAGAAACTGGACCCCTTCCTGACAGCTTACACTAAAATTAACTCCAGATGGATTAAAGACTTAAACATAAGACCTAACACCATAAAAACTCTAGAAGAAAATCTAGGCAGAACCATTCAGGACATAGGCATAGACAAGGACTTCATGACCAAAACACGGAAAGCATTGGCAACAAAAGCCAAAACAGACAAATGGGACCTAATCAAACTCCACAGCTTCTGCACAGCCAAAGAAACAATCATCAGAGTGAACTGGCAACCAACAGAATGGGAAAAAATTTTTGCAATCTACCCATCTGACAAAGGGCTGATATCCAGAATCTACAAAGAACTAAAACAGATTTACAAGAATAAAACAACCCCATTCAAAACTGGGTGAAGGCTATGAACAGACACTTTACAAAAGAAGACATACAGGAGGCCAACAAACATATGAAAAAATGCTCATCATCACTGGTCATTAGAGAAATGCAAATCAAAACCACATTGAGATACCATCTCACACCAGTTAGAATGGCGATCATGAAAAAATCTGGAGACAACAGATGCTGGAGAGGATGTGGAGAAATAGGAACACTTTTACACTGTTGGTGGGAGTGTAAATTAGTTCAACCATTGTGGAAGACAGTGTGGTGATTCCTCAAGTATCGGGAAATAGAAATTCCATTTGACCCAGCAATCCCATTACTGGGTATATACCCAAAGGATTATAAATTGTTCTATTATAAGGACACATGCACACATATGTTCATTGCAGCACTGTTTACAATAGCAAAGATATGGAATCAACCTAAATGCGCATTGGTGATAGACTAGACAAAGAAAATGTGGCACATATACACCATGGAATACTACGCAGCCATAAAAAATGATGAGTTCGTGTCCTTTGTATGGACATGGATGAATCTGGAAACCATCATTCTCAGCAAACTGACACAAGAACAGAAAATCAAACTCAGCATGTTCTCACTCATAGGCGGGTGTTGAACAATGAGAACACGTGGACACAGGGAGGGGAGCATCACACACAGGGGTCTGTTGCGGGGGACTATGGGAGGGACGGTGGGTGGCAGGGAGGTTGGGGAGGGATAACATGGGGAGAAATGCCAGATATAGGTGACCGGGGGATGGGAACAGCACACCACATTGCCATGTATGTACCTATGCAACAATCCTACCAGAATTAGTAGAACGCACCTTGGTTAAACATATGAATGTTTGAAATTATTTGGAAACATCATGGTTTTTCCTGTAAAACTATAGCTATAATAGTATATGTAGCTCACACCTAATTAAAACTTTTTATAATTGTACATTTAAAAATAAGTAAAAGGGTATATTTGGATTGCTTGTAACAAGCAGGATAAATGCTTGAGGGGATGAAGACCCTACTTTTCATCATGTGATTATTTCATATTGCACACCTGTATCAAAATACCTTATGTACCCCGTAAGTATATACCCCTACTATGTATACATGAAAATTAGAAAAAATAAAATTGTAGCCAAATTTAATTTTATATAACAATATGATAAAGTCTGACTAATGAAGAGATAATTAGGGGAAAATGAGTTTTTCTCATGGGTGACTAACTTCTTTTGAAAACATAAACAATGAAGTGTTTTAGACTTTTAGATTAAGTGCTGACATATACATTTCTTCATAAAATAATATTTTAAGTACTTATTTCAATTACATAATTCAATAATTTACTATTTTATGCAATAACAATCATAATACAACTGACAAAATGTAATAATTGAAATTGCAAAATTATCTGAAAAATAGCCCACAATCCTTTGGTGTGTAACAGAGGAAATCAGACAATCGTTTCCTGAGGGACATCCGTTAAACATTCCCTGCTGCCACAGATGCTAGCATGGGGATTGGGGAGGAGTTTGGAATTTTTCCTTTGATTTTACTGAAGAACAACGAAAATAGTTGCTTGATTTCACTCGTAAGTGAATGTTTCACTGAAAAGGAAATGAAATGCAAGGCCATGAGGAGAGGCCACCCCAACGTGTGGCAGAGGCACCTGCTTTAGAATCAGTGTTGGAGCTGGGTCTGCTCACTGAGGGTTTGCTGGACTGGAGTCACCTTGGTCTTAAAAGTAAAGCTAAAAGCATATCCTAGCCGGTAAACTCTTTTACCTCATCATAATTGAAACCTTTCTATTGAAAAGACATCTTCATGAATAGCATAGGGAAAAAAATGCTTACCAGAAAACCATCTAAAGGACTGATGTGTAACTGACAGTCAGCCATAGGCATATAAGATATAATTGTACCATGATACGTTTTGAGCAATCAGCACCTACCCCCTTAGTTTCTAAAGGTCTTCCACACCTATTCCTGTCACAGACCTGACATGCCCGTATTTACAAGATCGATGTGATCACTGAAGTCCCAGTCTTGCCAGCTTGATCTACCCTGACCTTCACCTCTAGAGGTAGCCGCTCAGATGTAAGAATGGGCTGTTTCCTAGGATGAACCCTGTTAAACGGTGGAAGTGGAGTCTACAGACAGGTCAGCAGGTCACATGTTAATTGACCATTCATTGTGTAGCATCTGCTGCTTCCAGAATGAGGAAGTGCAGAAGGAGACTCGGGGCTCCTTGGTAAGGAGTGGGGAGCTCGTAGGTGGCTGTGTGCTGAGCACCATGAATGCAGGTGAGAAAATTAGGTTGAGGCTGGTCTGAATGTGTGTCACCCTTAGGATTATCACTATTCTGCCCACGAGATAGAGCAGCTTATGTTTTGAGAACCTTGTCAAGAGACAAAGACCGACTTCCAGTGAGAGAAGGAAAAGAAAGCATAATGTGCATTGCTTTCCAAGCACACCTGCCCACACATTTCATCATTGAGACTGGGTCCCTAAATAAGTCACTTTAGACAGCACATTGTGGAAAAAAGATGCAGGCATTACCTTCTGTGTCTTGCATATTTGCCACTGACATGACCACTGCCGTCACAGCCAGGGGTGGGACAGCTGCAACAGGAAAGAATTGATTACACAGTGCCACGGGCAGGCAGGTGAGATGGAGTGTGTCTGTGGCAGCAAAGAGAAGGGGGGGCAGCCCAGACACAGGAGAGAAATCACACGATCCAAAGGAGGGGGAATTTGGGAGGCTTTTTACGAGCAAGTCTCGAGGGAATTAATTTCATCAGTGCGGCAGGGTGTGAGCAAGCTACCGGGAAGCTCAAAAGTGCAGCCTGCCCATTAGAAGGTGTGAATTCTCCAAACTGCTAATGGGGAGGCATTTTACCCACATGGCACTGACCTGAACAGCTCTTGTATGGCTGGTTCCACGGGAACTGCAGAGAGATGGAAACAGATAAACATTTACCATCGATCACAAGGCCCCTCTTCCGCAGAAAATTACCGAGAGTGTGGCGTGAAGTGAATCAAGCCTCAGTCACACAGGACGAAGGTGACCCCGAGCCGGCCTCAGGAAGCAGAGAAGCACAGACGTACCTCGAACCCCTTTGGACCGCGTGCGATGCCGCTTCTCCTCGGTGTCCACCTCCATCTGGGGATAGATGAGCAGTCATCAATGTTCTCATCCTGCCTGCACCCGCCAGCCCTGCAGGGATGGCTCGCTCCCCCGGGCATTTGAGTGATGGGGCTTTCCCCCTGTTTCACTCCATGAAGGGAAGCCCTCTCCAAGGGCAGAGGGTGGGTACGACGAGGCAATCTAAATGTATTGTTCAAACCATGATAAACCGACCTTCATCTTGTAGGGAACATTAAAGCAGCAGGCCCTTGCCCTCTACAACGGGGCAGATTTTGAGGAATCTTGAAGTGCTATCCAGTTCCTCTCTTTTCAAGGATTTGATGAAACTTCTGTGTGTTTCTGAGTTGTACTTTCTACCAAGAATATAATAGATAGCCAAGAAAGTGAAGATATATAAATATATATTTATTTATATATTTTATGTATATGTATAAAACATATTTACATGTATAAACCACATATATTTTATACATATAAACCTTTCGGTTAAAAGAAGAATCTAAATATCATATATATTACATGTATAATATATAACTACACACACATGCACACATATTGTATATATATAAATATATAATATTTAGATTCTTCTTGCAACTGAGAGGTTGAATACGATTAAGCAGTTAAGACAAGAGGCGTAGGTATAGTGGAAGGACATCACCATCTGGGGCTCACTCTTGATGTTGTTTAATTCGTGAAATGCAATTGTTCTCCACATTTATCTAACTTGCTAGGTTTCCTTTGAGGTGTCTAGACCCTCTACGCATAGGAGCAGACACATCTTACACTTGGGACATTACAAACGCTTTCATATACTACCTTGTGGGACCTATACAACCATTTTGTAAGGAAAGTATATTTATTGTATCTATTTTATACATAAGAAAACTAAAATTCAACCACCTGCGTTACCCAAGATGCTTTGAGTAGAAGGTTTTGGAGTAGAAACCAAAAATTGCGTGTCTGTGTACGTTCTCTTGAAGCCTCAGGAGCATGATGTTTCATGCTGGATATACACGAGTGCATCTGTTCACCACGTATTCCCACAGCATGCGAAGGGTTTACACACAGCAAGCTGCAGTGTAGGAGAACTGTACTCAGGAGACAGAGGAACTGAGAAGAGGTGCGCAGTAGAAGCTGGCCAGAGCCCCACTGGGTGGCCTGCACACCAAAGCCGCTTCCTCCGTCAGAATCGAGTGAAGACTTGTTAGATGCCTGTGGCTCTATTTAATGCAGACTCCAGAAAAGAGCAGGGTGGGCCTGCCACTGAAATAAACCATAGGACTAGGGAGGTGCAACTCAACAGACTACTACAGCAAGAAGGGCATAGAAATCCATATGGACAGAGCCTGATTTAATGTTGATGCCAACTAACCACCAGCTATTCATGAATACTGTGGCTGAGTATTATGATATCGGCGGTAAAAACATACATGTAATAAAAACGTAAGCTCACTTAAGGAGCTAAAAATCTCTTAATGGGCTATCTCTATGTACAGACATAATGATGTATCAGATTTAACATCAAAACAAGAATTTCAGAAAAGCAGGAGCCAATGGGAAGTGGATGCTGAGGAAGGATGCTGGGGAAAGTTGTGATCCATGGGGACTGTTTGCGTAGGTGCGAAAGGAAGTAAAAGAGACGGCCTCTATGACTTGTATCTTATCTGGAGGCTTGATATACAGCGACTGAGCGAATGAATGAATGAATGAGTCCAGCTGCTGGGAATGCTGCAGGTCAAGGAAGTGCCTTAGGCGGATGTTAGAAAGACGACATCCAATCTCACACAGGTGGCGGGCCTGAGCCAGGGCCATGTGCAGAGCTGGGAGGGCTGTCCTGGGAGGCCCCACTGGTCCAGCTGAAGAGACAGCTGCCGGCCTTTCTCGAACGTGGGGAGGACCAGTCGCAAACACGTTTTAGAGAAAAACTAGTTATTGGCAGCTTGAGAGAGGGCATGGAGGGGCAGGCAGAGGAGTCCGGAGCGAGCTGGGAGGAGGCTGGCAGTGCCTAAGAAGAAAGGGTTCGGGCCATGGTCTGACCACATCCGTGGCTAGTCCTATCGTTGGCCAGTTCATGAACATAATTGTCTGAGAAAGGAAGAAAAGGGTTTAAAAACTTTCTGATGGAAGAACCCATACAACACAGTGGTGTATCTGGCAGCTTTTGGGTTTTCTGTTGTTTAAAGAGATGCCTAGGATATGAAACTCTTGACTGCAGCCACATCACGTGGATCTGACATTTAAACAAATAGCACCCTGAGTAACTCGTCGATGCTCTGAAATTGCCACTCAACATGAAAACATTTCAAAACACCACAAAATTCCAGCAAAGGGATCTAGGGCCAAAGTGACATGACACAGAGATGAGCTAAGAATCAAGACGTCTGAACTGACAGCGAAAATGCCATTCACGTGAATGAGAAACAGAGGCTCCTGGGGTCCCCTGCCCTTGTCACAGAATGGGGGATGCAGAGATACTGGGGTGAATGTGTATTCTTTAAGGAATTCGACATTGAATTAACACCTCGAATGAGGGCCTGTACGTTCAGACACGTTCGCCATGGGGTGTAACGGAGGCTCGGATGTGGTGCATCTAACCCATCCTAAGGAAGGAGAAAGAGAAGGTTCCTGGAGGGAACTGAAATTTGGGTTGAATTTTAAAGGTTAATTGGATGTTTCAGGTAAAAAACAAACAAACAAACAAACAAACAAACAAACAAAACTGTGGTGAGGGTGTGTTCCTCACAGAGGGAACAGGACGTGGGGAAACCCAAAGGCTTAGAGAGACTGGTGTGCTCAGGAGAGACGAAGCTGGGGCTGGGGTGGGAGCGCCAGAGTCCAGGCTTGGCTGTGGGCTCCCTTCAGCTGGGCACAGTCTTTTCAAAGTTCCTCGCGGAGCAGGGGCCAGCCACACTCAGCCAGCACCCAGCTTGCTTGGCCTGATCCAGCATCTCATGAATAAACCAGCGTTTATGATTCCCCTGGCTGCAGTTTGGGGAGAACCGGTGTCCAAAAGCACAGTATAGCTAGCTTTCCTTTGCAGGCATAAAATCGAAAACGCTGGCCTCATTAGCTAACTGCTCATGTGGTTTGATAAGGATAAGAATTGTTTCATTCTTATAATTAAATTCTTCATCCTTTCAGTATTTTTTGTGCATGTAGGGGCAACTGTATTTTTTTTCCCAGTCAGCGAATTCTTCCATTAATCAGTTGTTAAATAAATCATATCCCTCCCCACACTAAAATACTCCTCTTGCTACGGTGGGACTCCCCGTTCCCTCCCGCGCTGGTTTCTTCCAGCACAGTCCTGTTTGGGTGACAGCGACTCTGCAATGTACTTCCTCTGCTGAACAAGGCCCCCTCGCCACGGGCATTACTGGAGATGCTTTGTAAAAGACACCAGGCACAGCGCTGAACAGATCGGGGCTCCCCACTCTTTCCCTTTCAGCCAATGAAACCCGAATCCGAAGGGTTTCAAAACGGTTTTGAATTTTACATTTACACAGCTGTCCCATAAGTGCCAACTGCTGCAGGGACCTGTTCTCCCATCCCCCACAGAGTCCTGCCCTCCCCACCCCCACAGAGACCTGCCCTCCCCCCCACAGAGACCTGCCCTCCCCTCCCCCACAGAGACCTGCCCTCCCCTCCCCCACAGTCCTGCCCTCCCCTCCCCCACAGAGTCCTGCCCTCCCCTCCTCCAGTCCTGCCCTCCCCTCCCCGAGTCCTGCCCTCCCCTCCCCCACAGTCATGACCTCCCCTCCCCCACAGAGTCCTGCCCTCCCCTCACCCAGTCCTGCCCTCCCCTCCCCCACAGAGTCCTGCCCTCCCCTCCCCCACAGAGACCTGTCCTCCCCTCCCCCACAGAGTCCTGCCCTCCCCTCCCCCAGAGTCCTGCCCTCCCCTCCTCCAGTCCTGCCCTCCCCTCCCCCACAGAGTCCTGCCCTCCCCTCCCCCACGGACTCCTGCCCTCCCCTCCCCGCAGTCATGCCCTCCCCTCCCCTCCCCCACAGAGTCTTTTTGCAGGAACCAGGCATGGGGGCCTGGATTCAGGCCGGGTTCGGACTGAGCAGAAAGCATAACACTATGGTCTGAAACGCCAGGAGGCCTCCGTTTCCTAAGGTGTGCACCCGACGGTGTGCGGCCCTGGGGCCGCGGGCTCACCGGCGCTCTCACGCTTTGTTTCTTCAGGACTCTCCAGCCCCTCCGTCCTGCCCTTCCCATCCCTCCTGCCCTCCCAGAAAGAACGTCTGGGCTGGCTTCCACCCAGGGCCTGCCCACTCCGGGAGCCTGTCGTCGGCAGCCTCAGCACAGGGTCCATTTGGGTTCATTCTGCCGGCGGCCCCAGGGCCTGACTGCAGCCTGCACTCAGCGAGCCCGTGGGCGACTCCACAGCGTTTCCTAAGGCACCACTCCGGATCTTCCTCGGAGCTGCAGAAAGCTCACCTCACTTATCATTGCTGGGGTTTCCGATGACCTTTCCAGTAATTCACATTCAGAAAATCACCTTAAATCTCCACTTTCACATGGATTATTTTATTTGGAAGTCCAATATTTATTTTTAAAATAAGGACGTTTTCTAAGAAGATTTAAAATGTGTTTCATACAAGTAAAGTCTTGAATTTCAGGAATCTGTTTGGAGCCAATAAAGCCGTCAGGAGTGACTTGTGAAGAGAGAGCAGGTGAGTTAGTTTCTAAGATGAAAACTTTACATTTGGACTCAGGATTTATTTTGTTACCATGATCTTCCTTCTCTTTTCCTTCCAATAAAAGGGATGCTTTCCCCAGGTTGAGCCTCAGTGAGGAGATTATAATGTATCTATATTTGATACATATATTTAGGGACAGTGTATCCCTCTGTCACCCAGGCTGGAGTACAGTGGCACAATCATAGCTCGCTGCAGCCTTGAACTTCACTTCCAGAGTGGCTAGGACTACAGGCATGTGCCACCATACCTGGCTGATCTTTTTAATTTTTTGTAGAGCTGGGTCTTGCTATGCTTCCCAGGCTAGTCTTG